TAAAAAAACAAAACACTGCAGTTATCACATTTCAAATAACCATATCTCTTGGTTGTGCTTGAACCACCATCCTATAAGGACCATAAATTTGTCTTACAACCATTTTTAGTTTATTTTCGGTAGTTTAATGGTATTGAGCAAATTGTTGTTTAACAAATTTGACCATGAATAAAGTGGATGTGTCGCTGGTTAGTTTGTATCAGTGATCTGCTGTCTCTAAGGTTTGGAGCTTGAATCATTCCTTTTGTTAACAACTTCATAAATATAGACATTTTTGTTGTTTTGGGTATTCTTGTCTCTTGCAGTTCTAAATTCAAATGATCAACATTTACTAGTGGCAAACTGCTGGTTTGAATATCCACATTTGCTAGAAAATTAAGTTAATTGATCATCCAAATTAATTAGCTCTTAAAGGCAAGTAGTCCTTGGTTAAAATGATCTTTTGACCAGAAAATATCCTATGTGAATTACTTTTTAATTAGAATAAAAAGTTATTTATTAGAACATGCTAATATTCATAATTGGATAAGAATAACACATGATGTATTAGATTATTCCTGCAGGCAGTTATGATTTAAAGATCTGATCCTTTTGTAAAACATGTTTGCCCATTCAGAGGTTTAGAAGCTATGCTGGTTAAAGTGAATGGTCATTTTCTCCTCATTCAGAAATTGTGGCATTCTTTGAATTCATTCTGTTCAAATGGAGACGTTTAGTGTTAATTATACAGATAAATGTAGTATAACCTTTGATTTTTACATCTAGTTATTTCCTGAGTGTGTAATAAACTTTCCAGTAGGCGCTTGTATAATCTTTAGTGACCTTTGGCATGAAATCCCAGCATGTTCATAAACAAGCTGAATGATATAAAGTTAATTATTAATGACACATTCTGTGTGTAAAATCATTGGTTGTGGACTTTAAAATACTATTATGAATATAACTATGTAGTTTGCTGTGAATATTGTTCAAATGTTTGATCAATTGTGTGTTAACTTCCTACTGGACTTACTGTTAAAGTTGCATGCATGATTTACCTTTTGGTTACAAGGAGTTTAATTTTTCTTAAAGAACTCTGAGCATATTTTCTAATGTTGGCATCATTCTCTATATTTTTATCCGAATTTCTGTTATTTTGCCACCTGTAGAGTCTGACAAGTTATGATGTCTGCAGCATCTTCCTTGGAACCTCTACATTACTGGTATGGGTTGGTGTGATCAGGTACCTGGGATACTTCCAGAAATATAATGTAAGTTCAGAGTGTTTTTGTTCTTTAGGATCTTTTGTCAACTAACTCGGTTCTTGGTTGCCTTTTGAATGCATTTAGTCATTGACACAGATTTGCACGTGGACCTGTTAATGGTCTGTTTTTTTTTCAGAAACATGGCCTCTAAAATGTTTGAGGAAAATCATGAATAAATGTTTCTTCTTAAAGGCTGAAACCTAATTTCATGAATGCATTTAGGTCCTGATTTTAACAATGAAGGCAGCCTTCCCTAAAGTTCTTCGTTTCTGCTGCTGTGCTGGCATGATCTACCTCGGTTACACGTTCTGCGGGTGGATTGTACTGGGACCGTACCACGAAAAGGTTGGTATATAATGGGTTTTTAAAGGCTCTGCTTAGACATGAGGGTTTGTTTGAAACCCTGCAATGAGTCATGCTGTGAGAGGTGTGAAGCAACTCTAACCATAGAGGAAATATAACGTCTGTGTTTTTTTGTTTTTTTTTTGGTGACTAATGCTGTTTTTCCTCAATAAATGTTGAGGTCACATGTTCCTGTGGTTAAACAAGGGAAATCTAAATGTCTGAAAGTGTTTCCATTGAAATTCCACTTTTATTATGCAGATTTACCAGAGTACATAAGCTATTAATGTCAGCATTTTTGGGGGAAAAAAATGAGGAAATGAATCAGCAGCCCTCTCCTGCATTACTAAACAAGTCAAATTTTTATTTGTACTTTCTGGACATTGCTCCTTATATCTGAGCTTTATAAATTAAAAAGCCAAAACCATTTTGTTTTGAGTTACTAAAAGAAGTTTCTCTTACAAAAAAAGACTAAATGGTCCTTCATTTTTGGATCAAATGTCCCATTCCCATATCTCTAATGCATTTTGTTTCAAAGAACTGGTTTATGTTGAATAACTTGAAATCAAGGAATTTTACTTGATTTATTTACTTTGATCTCATGCCCTACATTTAGAGTGTTAAAATGTAAATATTGAGTTTGTGAAAAAAATTAAGGTCTAAGAGTGATGTTTTTATTTCAGATTATGCATTATACCTTTTTTTTATATTGTGGAAAAAAACAAACAAATACAATGAACACATGTAAAAACATTTTAAATAAAATTATTTTCATATACAGGAGGTGCATAATATTTTAGTATGTGTAGTGGAACTGCTTGCTTGCTGCGAGCTGCATGATTGATGGATGGGAAAACAGAAATAAAGATAGATTTAAAGCAACCGAATCTTAAGTTGCTGTAAGAGTTCAATGCAACCACTAGATGTCAGTGTGTGTGTTTTTTTTTGTTTTGTTTTTGTTTTGTTTTTTTTCTCTCTTTTTGTTTTGTTTTTTCCCAATTCAGTTCAAATATACTTTAAGTCCTAAAGGAAACTTGAATAATAATTAAGAAAATATTACAATTATTCCAATTTCCTTATGATGGTTTCCTTCAGTGCTGTACAGGCTGTTACTATGTGATATTCTGCTCTGTATACATGTCTTGTTAAGATTAGAATACTTTCTAATAAAAAACAAACAAATTATTGTTAGGCTGCCATACACCTAGTATTAAATAAATCTTGATATTTATCTTTGAAATTATGATTAGAAAACTAAAGGTGAACATATATGCTCTTTTCAGCTTACAGTTAAAGAAACTAAGGAATGTATGTAGAAAAACTGTAGAGCATGCATTTATGAAGAACACTTCAAATGTTTTGGCACTTTAAGAACTTCAAGCCATCTGCCCTTAGCCACTGTTTAATTATTAATCAGCCTCTTTAAAGGCATACAGATTGTCTGTGAGAGGAAAAACCCTTGTCAGCAAGTGGCATCAGGAAGCCGTGTGTTTAACTATCCTCCTCTGTTAAGATAAATAATTTACGGAAGTCTGACCAGGAGTGGAGTCAAAACAAGTCCTGCCCAACAGAAGCAAATTTGTTCAGACGGTGCCACATCAGCTGCTCTGCTTCAACTGGTCCACTGCAAATAAATGGTGTTGATCTTCAGCTGGTCAGCAAGGGTTCCTTTATTACACATTCAGGATCTGATGGCACATTTCTCAAAATTGTTTTATACAAATATGAAATTCCTATTCTATTAACCAGTCAATATCATGCTATAACATATGGCATTCTGTTGTTTCCCATTTACACCTTAGTTTTCTAATATTTTTGCTTCATGGCAAATTATACAGCTTAATGGGCTTGTAACATATGTAGTTTTCTCCATGCTGCAGTTAAACATGGATTTTCAGTCAGGGTATTTGCAGAAATATGGCCAGGGAAGTACACTGACATTATGTCAGCCCTTCCAGGGACCTCCGTGTATTTACTCAAGGAACAAACAGAGGATGTCCTTAAACTCTACTTTCTATACATCTGACTATTCTCCCTTATATCCATTGAGACGCAGCAATCGTTTTAATACTGTTGCTCTCTGACGAATTACTGCTGCTGACATGATGACCGCATCTGACATCTATGATCCTCCTGCAAGACATCTGTTTTTTGTTTTTCATTTCAATCTTTGTGTCGTGACTAGCCAGCTGTTATGATTCTGTCCTCTGCATCGTTTCTAGATTGAGCCTGTTTTGAGATCTTTAGTCATTTTTGTTTTCAGTTCTCTTTAAATTCTTAATGTATGTAGTTTACCCATTTCTCTATGTATACAAGTTTGTTCAAACATTAATGTATAACTTGGTATTAAACATAATTATTAGAATAACATTTTTTTTTTTCAAGCAAAAACTAAACATTTTTATTACTAATTTCTTACCTGCTTCCCTTTAGTTCGAGGGCCTGAGTCGGGTTGCAGAGTGCCTCTTCTCCTTACTGAATGGGGACGACATGTTTACCACCTTTGCCCAGCTAAAGGACAAGAATACCCTGGTGTGGCTCTTCAGTCGGGCTTACCTTTACTCCTTCATCTCCCTGTTCATCTACATGGTGTTGTCCCTTTTCATCGCTCTCATCACAGACTCTTATGAGACAATTAAGGTAAGATATTCAAAAGGGGAAGACTGCAGCACTATTTGCGCACTGACGTTTATGGTGCCTTGCAAAATTATCCATTACCTTTTGATTCTTTCCACATTTGATTATGTACAAACAAACTTTAATAGCTTTTCTTTTATCAAAGCCTTTTTTTAGCCTCATTACTTTTTTTTTCTTCCATTAAGTGTCCTATATTAATAGAATAGAATAGAATTCAACTTTGTCATTGCAATGTCACGAGTACAAAGCAACGAAATGTGGTTTGCATCTATCTAGAAGTGCTATACAGGATATAAATATTGCAGGTGTATGTACAAGCAAAAAGTTATAGTTGGGGACTGTAAAAATGTTTGTATAAGTATGAATATGGGAGCTACATGCACAGATTATACAGAATATACAGGATTGTTAGTAAAATGATTATATATGTATTAGTGGGTTTATAATACAAGTAATTGAGGAAAATATTAAGCCTATTTTATGCAATCCTAAAAAAATGATTGCCCATGATGATATGACCAAACATTACTTGTTTCTGCCAGAAGCTGCAAATATCTCAGACAGCGTGTAGAAATCCTGTTGCTTGTAAAACTGCTGGTCACACACCTTAAAGTTACAGTCGGTTTACCAAAGCTGAGCACTGCTTTTAAATAAGAGGAGAATGGGGGACTCCGCTGTCTTCTTGAACAGATGACATCACGAAATAAAAATGTGATGAAAAAGAAAATGACTGAGGCAAAAAAATCTATGCACTGTGGGATATAAGGTAGAGATGATCATTTTTTTTTAAACAAAAATTTCTAAATTATTATATTGGAGGAGTTTCATTGACTTGGGATGGAAATATTCAGAAATCTGTATACAATCCTTGGCTGTCCGAACGATCACCATAACCCCTAAATATCTCAATCACTATATAGAGCAGGGACTATATAGTGGACTTTATATTAGCTCGGTTAACAGACCATCCAGACAGATGATCACTACTTTGTGCGTGATGCCTGCACCATCTTTGTTTTAAGCATTCTGGAATATATACTCACCGGCCACTTTATTAGGTACACCTGCCCAACTGCTCGTTAACACTTAATTTCTAAGCAGCCAA